AACTAGTTAATATCTTTAAAGATTTAACTAAAAAATCTAATAGATAGTATCTTAATAGATCTACTATTAAAAATTCTAACTATTAAATTAGCTATATTAGCCTACTTCTAATTCTATACCCTTCCCAAAAATTTAAAGCCTATAGGAGGCTAAAAATCTTGTCTTTCCTTTCGCTCCTATATTTAATATAGGAACTCCTTATAGTCCTTGACTGCATAGGAGTATAATGAATAATAATAATAATAATATTATTATTTACTAGAATACTAAAGATAATTAAGCTACTATAATATTATAGAATTAGTAGATTAATATAATTCCAGTATTCTATATAATAATTATAGTAACACTACGGTGTTTCGAAGCTACATATTTCCGGTATGGCACTTCATGACAGGATATTAGTTCGGTCTCTGGAACTCAATATAGAACTAGACTCGTACTGATTTTTTGTAAATTATGCATCTCCAGCAACTTGGCCGAGATACCACCCCTTGGAACGACAGTGTTTCTTCTCGCCGCTCACTGACGCCGTACGGATGAGGTGTCCTATTGTCATTGCTTTCGGCGGTCTGCCGATTATTACCTGCAAAAAGGGTTGGATTATGTCTAGGAAGGCTTGGGAGGAGTTGAATGGGTTGTGGAAAGGCCATGTTAGTCGCCGACGGTATTCCAAAATGATTCCAAGGAGGAGATGGGGCGCTCTTGCTTAATTGATTGCACTCTTCAATTAAGTCGCCAGAGTTCCCTACTGTGCTGTTGGAGCCTGTGGAGCACGGAGTAGGTTAGGCATTTATCTTGAATGTATTTGGTCAAGGGAGGATTGCGGCGTACCAGAACTCACGGGAATTGTTGTCAAGTTTCTCCATATATCAATGTCCTGCCATGTAGAGACACCCTCCAAATTACTTCCAGTACCTGGGGGCCCGGTATCGCCAGCCTCAATGTGACGAGGAGGATATTCGTATATCTCATCCGCCTGGTGTCCCTGTGGAAAGCTCTCCTCGTTTGTGCCTCTGGTAGATCCGTTGGTCAAAGGAGGTAAATCTAGCACGGGCCAATACTGACTATTCACAAAATCTGAGCAATAGTCATCACCAAGTGTTTCATTCTCAACGTCTCCAGAGGTTAGGTCATGGTCGCCCGGCTGCTTGTAATCTGGGTTCTCGTCGGAGGGTGACGGGTCCATGATAAAGCCAATTGCCCAGCACTGGCGAGCTCAATATAAATATAGAACTAGTGGGTTGCAATTACTTTGTTGGGTGTGTTATGCAAGGCTGTGTACAAATCTTGTGTTATAAAATGTGGAAAGATTGCTTGAGGCCCTCGACGTTTCTCGTCAAGTTCGTAGCTTCAATCACACTGAGGATGAGACGTCAGGCCTGCGGTCCAATAATTGAGTCGGAACATAATCATGCATAAACCGCTGAGCAATGGTATTGGTTGCATGGTTCTAGCGTTGTTTTCTCGTTTTGCGGTAGTTGTAAGTTGTAGGCCATTCCTGCTGTATATTCATGCCTTCGAGATTTCTTGCACTTTTTAATTGCTGGTATTGCTTCTCAACCAAGACAAATAACGTGAAGGGGGTTGTTAACCCCATCAGATATATCCTTACAGGTGCCAAGGATCTCTCACCACGAGAGAAGATTCTGGGGTATCTGGGGTATCTGGAGGTACAGCTTGTTTCTCGATAATATGACATCATCTTGAGCTCCGTTCTGGCCATAGTTGTATTCCTCGAAGGAATAAGATGCTGGCTGGGGTAAGGTAAATGCCGTTATGCGAGATATTAGCAGAGAGTCGGAGTAACGCTGGTCAGGTTGATATTTCCCAGCAGCTGATATTCCGACCCAGCACAGTAGGTTGCGGACTCAATCCTCCCGGCTGTTGATTTCACAGTTCAAAAAAGAGGAGCATATATCCCATGTTACCACAGGGATATCTTGACTTAAAATATGTAGTCAAGTAGGCCGTTCCAGGACATAGTTAAGTTGTGACTCAATAATATACCCTGTCGATAAAATGGGGACATGTGTGGTCCAGGCAGAAACCTGTTGGTTATTCATCCGGGCATAAAGCAGTGTCCAAGGATGATTCCACATATCTGCATCCCTTCGGAACGTCGCAGCGTTTCTCAACATATTTGATTTGGCAGATGGCGCTAAAGACACTTGATAGTTTCGTCAAACGTGTCCATTCCTAAATGGGCAATGGCTTGAAGCTGCCATTGAAGCTTTAATGCGCCCTTCCGCCAACCTGCATGGCCGTTCAATAGTGAGCAACACGGGCTTGGTGATCTCGCTGTACCAGCAACCACACACAACCTCAAAAGGCGGAATGCTTGGAAGACCTGCATGAAGTCAAGCTTGTACATGTTGACAGGCCAGTCCTTTGTCTTCCGGCATATCATCAGACATGGGTTCTCCGTACATCGCAACGAAGTGTCCATCCAGGCGTTGCAATCAATGATTATACCAAACGGCGATTGAGGCGTTCAAAGGTAACCTAGTCCAACACGCGTCTAAATAAGGTAATTTAGCCGATGCCGTTTTTCTCTCCGAAATCCGCCCGAGCAACCAAGCGGGTCGGCCTTTGACTAATTAGGCAGTGTGTATACTCCATTGCGGCGCACTTCGGGATGACTAATAATTGATAATCCCGTCTGCGTGCTGTGTGTGCTGTTCCTCACTCTCGCCTTGCTTAGCTTGCTTCCTTGCCTCTTCTTTCACCTCTGCCAGAGCTGCGGCCTCTCCAGCGCCCGCCTCTGTCCTGCCCATCGCGCGCTCCGTCTCTGCGCCTCCATCGCCTTTTGCCCGCCCGTTCCTCCTCGCCTTGATTACATAACATCCGCTCTTGCACGTGATACTTGCTATCAAATTACTGGCCGCTTATTGGCTGTCAAGCTCCGGTAACTCAGTGGGGCAGGCTCCCTCCAGCCAATCAGGGCAACTCCTTTCCTGTCTTACCCATGGTTCTGGATGACTAATCTCGGTCCAAACGCTTCCCTTTCGCTCTTCCGTCGTCGTCTTCTGCGTGCTTCTTTTTTCCTGCTGCTTCTTCCTTTTCCTCACTTCCCTGCCTCGCTCGTCCTTCGTTTCGCCTCTGCGTCCTCATCTCCCGCTCGTCACATCGCCGCTTTTTATCAAAGCCGTCACCACTCTCATTCTAACACCAGTCAATTGCTATCTAGCTTCGGCTGTCTGCTACCATGGCCTCTGCTGCCCGTACCTTCTCGAGAGCTCTTGCTCGCGGCGCTACGCCTGTGACCTCCGTCAGACCCTCGGCAACTCGTAATGCTGCTCGATTTTCCCTTCCAGCACAGACCTACAGAGCCTCCTGGCGAAGAGGATACTCCACGGCCTCTGAGCCTCAAAAGTCCTCCTCTGGCATGTACTGGGCTCTCGGAGCCGTTGCCCTGGCTGCCGGTGGTACTTACTACTACATGAACAACGAGAGCTTTGCTGCTGCTCAGAAGCCATTTGTCCCAACCAAGGAGGACTACCAGAAGGTTTACGACGAGATTGCGCACCTTCTTGTGGAGAAGGATGACTATGATGATGGCAGCTACGGACCGGTAAGCCTTTTGCTCTTCCTTTATTGTCTACCAGGATACGCATGACGGCCAGTGACTGATATATCTCCCCGTTTTTGATAGGTTCTCGTTCGTCTCGCCTGGCACGCATCCGGCACATACTGCAAGGACACCAAGACCGGAGGAAGCAATGGAGCTACCATGAGATTCGACCCCGAGTCTAACCACGGAGCCAATGCTGGTCTCAAGACTGCTCGCGACTTTTTGGAGCCCGTTAAGGGTGAGTCCAGACCATCACACTGAGGAGTTGACATAACGTTTAACATGACAGTGTTGCTGACATTTGTTATACTATAGCCAAATTCCCATGGATCTCCTACTCTGATCTCTGGACTCTTGCCGGTGCCTGTGCCATCCAGGAGTTGCAGGGTCCCACCATCCCATGGAGACCTGGCCGTAAGGACAACGATGCCTCTGCTTGCACTCCAGATGGCCGCCTCCCCGACGCCTCCAAGGACCAGAAGCATATCAGAGACATCTTTGGCCGCATGGGCTTTGATGACCGTGAAATGGTTGCCCTCTGCGGTGCTCATGCCCTGGGTCGTGCCCATGCTGACCGTTCCGGATATGACGGTCCTTGGGACTTCAGCCCTACTGTCATGACCAACGAGTTCTTCAAGCTCCTCCTCTCTGAGAAGTGGGTTAACAAGAAGGTACGCCAATATGCAACCGTCGTCCTTTGCTTGTTTATTTAACATCAACTAACTGACTCCTTAAATTAGTGGTCCGGCCCTGCCCAGCTCACTGACAACAAGACCAAGACTCTCATGATGCTTCCCACTGATATGGCCCTGATCAAGGACCGTGAGTTCAAGAAGCACGTCGAGCGCTACGCCAAGGACTCGGATGTTTTCTTCAAGGAATTCTCCGAGGCTTTCGTCAAGCTCCTTGAGCTTGGTGTTCCATTCGAGTCTAAGCCAGAGGACCGCTTCGTTTTCAAGCCCTCCGAGTAAATCAGCCAATTGGTTTTGATTTTGAAGACCGAAAAGAGGAGCAAAAAACCCAAGACGCAATAAAAGACTACAACTGAAAATGGCAAGAGTTTTATTAGCTCTTTTTATATGAGTTCATGTCCTGACAACTTCCAGTCCTTTTCCTTTTGTACCACTTCTAGCTACTCCCTTCCCCCATTCTTTCTTTTCACTTCCCCACAATACCTCCTTTGCTTGTCTCGCTTACTGTACCGATTAAAGTATTCCCCCTACCTAGACCCATTTAACTAGACCCATTTAACTTAGCGTCTTTATCAATTCAGGATCTTTATGGCGTTTAAACTAGATGGCACGCATTTTGAATCTGTGTATGGAATACTCTAAATTGACTATCGTGTATTTTGCCGTAGAATATAACGTCATTGTTAAGCATCCATCTCCACTCTTGCTGCTCATTTCATTAGACTACCCGCACGGAACAATGAAATACTCAGAGAAACAAAGAGAAATAGCCGACACCCACTCACTCTATCCAATGAATTACCCGAACTATATATTACACCTGGCGTTACTCCTCGAAACGTCCAACGCTGTGTTTGCCTGTTTTCAAAATTTTCCAACTCCCAGCTGTCTCCCCATCAGCTCCGCAGTCAAGTAGCAAGTCTTCCAAAGATTGACAAAGTCAAGGTTGCTAGTAAATGACTCCACCAGCCCGAACGGAAGCATGCTTGGAATCCAACCTATAATCCATCCATATTAGCATTTCACTCCTGGATATAGTGACTATTCCATTCACCCAAGATGCGAAAATTAACTTACCTTGCGCCAACTCTAAAGCCCACCCATCCATGGCATAATGAATTGACTGTCCTCTGGGCAAGTGGTTGACATCTCCAGGCCAGTATATGGTGGCCTCCAGCTGTCCTGGTCTATAGGCCTTTTCTGTGCCATTGAGAATGACAAAGTAGTCATCGGCCAGGTGAAGGCCAGAATGTCCGTTGGAATAGATAGGAGTGCCGTAGAATATCAAGTATTCTGTAATAGAGGCGTGGAGAATAGTGAACGCTCCCATGGCGCTTCCGTGGTTACTACCATATGCGTTAGTCACATACTAGGAACTGTTGTCCGATACAGCAATTGGAAATATAATCATATAACGCAGGGGTTGGAATACCTCCAAATCCATCTGTCTGGGTTGGTGGTAAAGGGCGCAATATGCTGACTGCCATATTCCTCCTGCAACGCCGCGTTTAAATCCACCATCAACGCCGTGACATTGTTGGGATGTTTGGCAATCGATGCCTTTGCCAATTCCTGAAGTCTCGATGGCTTGAAGATGTAAAAGCTACTGAGATTCGAGTCAAGCCAGTAGAAAAGAACGGTAAGGACAGACAGTGTCCCGATCAAGGTTACGGCACGCATTGTAAACGGTAGCAGCTGGGGTAAGTTGCACCACCTGCTAAACAATAATGACCGGGAAAGAAAAGAAAAAAAAACCCCAAGAGAAGTAGTTTGCCTTTACTTAAAGGGTGGAGGGGATGGAGGAATATTTAAAGCAAGGCTGTGGATCACAGAGCTGGACTAACTACCAGGATCAGCTTTGTTTAAGTAACTAACTCGTTAGTTTCGGTTCCCGGATACAGGCTGACCTGGATGGGCTGATGTCCAAGACATCCATAAAAGAACGCAACCTGCACTTTTCTTCTCGCTGCCAGTAGCCGTGCAATGCAGACCTCGCCATCAGCTATTACTCCGTACGCTGTACTGAATATATAAGAGTAGCTTCGTCGCTATGACGCTGCAGACATAACTAGAGATGCGCCTGGGACTTCTTCGCTCCTCCGAGCTCACTGGGTAAACGGGGCTGACTAAGCAGAAAGCACAAAAATTGAACTGCAATGAAATTTCAACGGCTGCGCCGAAGATCGCAGGCATAAACCACCAGCAGTGACAGCGCCGCCTGTTTAATGGCCCCCCCGGACCCTAGCCATGGGGGTATCTCGCATTATGAGATTCTCGGCCTCCCTCATCCTCCAGTTTCGTTGAGGAAGCAAGACATCAAGGCGGCCTACCACCGCGCTTTACTCCAGTATCACCCGGATAAATCTAGCCCGTCAATACCATTATCCTCACCGGGAGAAGATATAGGAAAGCAGAATAGCCTACCTGGCACACTAAATACCCCTAAATCCGCAGAGCCTCGTACCGTGGACCAGATTACAACTGCCTATAAGGTTCTTTCCAGCCCAGCAGCAAAAGCTGAATATGATCAGTTTCTTCTGCTATCGGGAATTCCAAGGACTAGATCAAATATTGGGAGGAACGAGAATGATGACGTGGTTTTCCGCACTGGTTTAGAGGTACTTGACCTTGACGATATGGCCACAGAGACAGTTTCATGTCAGTCTGATGGGAGCGGAGGGCAAGAGACCATTGAAACGTGGTATCGAGGTTGTCGATGTGGCGACGAAAAAGGATTTATGGTTACCGAGGAAGATTTGGAGAAGGAAGTAGAGAAAGGAGAGGTTATTATAGGCTGCCGGGGATGTAGCCTGTGGGCTAAGGTGGTGTTTGCTGTGGGTGAAGACATTGATGGATAAAGCGTCTGCGCCTAATTCATATTTTTACTACCACAGCCATTGATGGGGAAGCAGGACCTTCTCAGTCCGTCATTATGGTGAGAGCCATCGCTCTTTACCTACGGGATACTGGCCTGCAAACTCTTTTGGAAGGGGCCTCCATTACGGCAGGTTGTTGTTCCTCGGACGACTAGCCAAGTGCCTTAGCAAGGGAAGGAACCAAGTTATGGGAATTCCTGAAACTTTTATTATTGCATACTAGACATATCTGTGGCGTTGCCGAATAGCATAGGAGTTAAGATCCATATCCTCTTTTGCTACATTACCCCTAGGAGCTTTGGTGCAGCAATGGCAAGGTTTCACATTGAGAACATTTTTGGATCCAATTACTATATTATGACCGCTACTACTTTAAGTATATCATAACCTTGAAGTCTTTTCACAAATTGTTGGCGTTTATCTTTGGAATTGTATAATCAAATACACAGCTTTTAGATGATTAATTCTATAAACATACAGGCCAAAAACAGATCCATTTTGGAAGCTTTTTCAGCCGTCCCCAACGTTATGGCTTATTTTCAGGAATGACACGGGTACACGTCTCCCACAGAGGCAGACAAAGGCTGCTGCTGCTGACGCTTTGTAGCTTTCTAAAAATTTCCTATAAAACGGACGAAGAACGCAAGTTTTATATAGATTCCAGCCAGACCTTCTTAGATCCAATTACTTTCAGAGGATACATATTTTCGAGGCTATGTCTGGTTATATGTGAATCGAGGATACACCACCGAAAGCTTGGGGTGGCGGTAAAGCAGCAGCGCCTGCGGCTAAAATGGGAACCCAGTGCTTGCTTCGCTAGGTTAGTTAGTTAACTAGCCTACTACTTTAAAGTCTCTAAGCGCGAAGTTGCCAACGTCCTCAAAACCGAGACAAGTCACCGCCGCGACGTGACCAGCCACGCTTACGCCCAATATGTCCAAGCCGATCGAAGTCACGTCCATAGAGGAGTTCATAGCACTGCTATCAACGACTCCCGTTCTAATAGCGGATTGTAAGATATCCCTTCTCCCCCCAAAGCTCTCCAGACTTGCCCCTCGTTACCCCACTAACTTCAACATCAACATAATTGCCTTACTCTCAACTATCCACATTTCAACGTAAACTAAACATTTTGCTTTCTTATAGTCTATGCGGACTGGTGTGGACCATGTAAAGCAATAGCTCCGGTATTTGAGAGCCTGTCGGAGGAGCATGCTGGTGAAAAAGTGAGGTTCGCAAAGGTCAACGTGGCCAAGCAAAAAGAGATCGCAAGGCTCTTCAATATCACAGCGTATGTACCTGAAGATTTTCTTACATCTTAGCCTCTACTGCTACTGTGGACAGTTTGGATTTGGAGTTTAGAAGGAGCTAACATGTCATGTCTCCTGTTTCAGTATGCCCACATTCGTTGTTTACCATCACGGCGAAATCCTACAAGAGGTAAAGGGAGCGGAAAAAGACGCTCTCACCACTGCAGCTATGGCTGGCGTGCAGGTTGCCAACGGCGAAGTCTCTAAAGCGTCGAAGGAAACAAGTAATGATGACGGTTCGACCTGGCTAGGTGCTCCTGCGCCGCGAACTTACCAGGACATTACAGATGAAGTAGAAGTGAAGGGCATAGATATGCTTAACCGTGACGACGAAGCCGGCCCAGCGAGAAGTTTGTTCGACAGCCAGATTCCCAGTACCCTTGCCGCCACCAATGCTAAGGGCAAAGAAAACGAGCCTACAACCCCTGACTGGGTGCTAAGCGACACAGACGAGCAATTGATTGTGTTCATCCCCTTCCAATCCTCCACCAAGGTTCATTCTCTACAAATAACTTCACTCCCACCATACAGCGATGACGAAGAGGATGCACCTATGCGGCCAAGGACTATAAAGCTCTTTACAAACCACACCCACATTATCGGATTTGAGGATGCGGATGACTCCAAACCTGTGCAGACTTGCGAAATATCTCCGAAGGATTGGGATCCAAAGACGGGGACTGCCACCGTTGAGCTCCGGTACGTCCTGTTCCAGGGAGTTTCTTCCCTCAATGTGTATTTTGTCGACGGCGATGGGGATGGTGAGAAGATAAGAGTAGACAGACTACGCATCTTCGGCGAGAAAGGGGAGAAGAGAGAAGGTGTTATAGAGAAGGTTGGCGCCTCAGGCAATTGAAACAGTCTATCTATATGAAGCGCAATCAACGCTGGGGATTCTAGAAAATTCTATAACTCGCCATAAACAAAAGGAACCGTCATAGCATAATAGCAATAGCGGAGGCTTCCATTCTCATACACGTACGGGGTACCCTAGACAAGGTATATTCATTCAAAAGCAGTACGGAATAGGTATGCAATGAGTGTTTGATCCCAACAAATGGCCGTTCCTGCTGATATGTGGAACGGCCAATAAACGTAAGAATCAACGTGCAATTTCATCTCTCTGGGACGCAGCTGACACCTAAATGGATAACATCACTGATGAACCTGCCTGTACAGACAGCCTCAGACGCATAGGTAACACGGGTAATGATAATAATCATTTTACGCTGCGTTCGCCGCACGAGAGAGAGAAAGGAAGAGAAGAAAAATATTGCAAGAAAAAGGCGAAGGGAAAAAATCTTTTATTCCAAGCTTAACAAAGTACGCTAGTCCTTTTACGGAAAGGTACAAACAGTGCAAACAGAGCCTCGCCTAATGCTGAATAAGCATATCACGTGATATAATTTTCCCTCGATAGTCTTCTGCAGAATTTTTCCCTTTCTTCCTGCTCTTCTTCTTTTCTCTCCTCCACGGCCGATGATGGGATATACGGGAGCATGACTCTCGATATCTATGAAAAACATAATAGGAAGAGACTGAAGGGCTATATAGCCCAATGATCTCACTTGACACTTTCGCTGAGGCCAATTTTACCATGTTTTTCCAGTTCTGCGTTTTACATCTTCCATGACTCCCCCAAGAAGGGTATCTTAATACTGCCTTCGTTTGATTCCCTCTTCCTTTTCCCAGTGGGATTTAATCTTTGTCGATAAATGACTGGTATACCATGACGTCATGAAGGATGACTACCTTGGTGTCTATCCTTTCCTGCCGCGGTAATAAGCATCCGAGTTATCATATGCTTGCGGAGACTTTGATATAGGTGCATCCAGAAAACAAAAAAATGGTGCTCACTTTTTGCCTTGTATATCTTGAACAAACATAACCACTTTATTCGTGTGTCATTGTATCTTTGGCAGGGGAGACTTACGGGCTTATGAATGTGCCTCCGATTTTGATGACAGAGGATGTGATCGCCTGATCGACACCATGCCATTCTCTTTGTTGGTTCTGTCTCCCGTACCATGTGGCACTTTGGCATTCTGGGAGGGGCAAATTCTAGATGGGGTTTTCTTCTTTCCCTCTGAAGAAGAGAGTTGGGTTATTGGCAATAACCTGCAGATGCTATTGGATCTGTCATCCTTCTGGAAGGCAAACGGGAAAAAAAAAAAAAAAAAAGAGGACGGATTGTGGGAAGTGGCATACCCGTTGCGTGTTTCAAGTTACTGAATGTTGAACAAGATTGATGTGGGCACAATAGTTGGAAGGAATCAAGAAGTCATCAATTCAGACCATTGGCATGCCATCATCTCTATCCCCACCTGCTTATTTGCTATGATGTGCAATGCATTTCAGTTGGAAGACTGGGGAAAAGATCTGGAAGGTTTAAGGAAGATAAATAGACTACAGATAGCCGATGGGCTGAACCGGAGGTTTAGTAAATGATCGGACGCATGGCGTTCGGTTTTTGGCAGTGATGTAGCAATGGCAAATTTTCTTGAGAAAAAGGCAGAGAAGGAGAGTGCATATTTGCCTCAATCGGTAGTTTCACAGTATGTGGTACAATCGCAAAAATCTAAGCGATCAGTGGAGTCCTCCCAAAGTCGAAATGTAAAGCCAAAATGGAAAACGACGAATATGGGGAAAGGAAGCGTCTTGGATCGACAGCTGCATACTCTAAAGGCAAATCGCTGGTGTGATCAATAGTCCAGTCTCCAATAGCGAGGGAACCGTGTGCCTGGTCCTCAGCGTGTGGGGGCTATGATGCTCAGGCACCTTCTCGCGGTTCTGACTCTGCTAGCGCAGAAGTCCACCAAGGAAGATGGAGCTGGCGCGTTAAACTCCGACATATTGGGGGTTGAGTTTTGGGTGGGAAAGATGAAGTGACTGGATTGGAAGGCAAGTCCGAAGAACAGAACCGGCGGGAAGCTAAACTGCATTAATATCGTATCTCGTAATTCGTAGCCTGCACAAGGACTTTAGCAAGGTGTGCTTTTGCATCCTGGTATCATTGAATCTGCGTCCTGTTATCTGGATTAGTCGAGGGAAAAATAAGTAGCTCGGGGAGGATTGTAATCGGAACTGTGTATTTATTTGCCGGTGCACCAATTCTCGTGTACCGGTTCTTCCATGTACCTTGCCGTCGGAACCATGATAACTAACAATAGTTTCGGCCTCGACTTACTTAAGTCACCTGTGTATGGAGTATGTTCAAGGAACATGCCTCTTTGCCTCGCTGCTCTCACCTTGGCGGATATTGCGAAGCCTTCCTACTTCATCACATGCTGTGAAGCCAGCTGAATGCAAGTAAAGTGAACGATGGCCAAGAGTGACTCAGAAGTAACGGGTAATGGAGGTGGAAAAGATCCAGCCAAACAAAAAAAAAATAAAAAAAAAAAAAAAAAAATAACATCCGAGACAGTTTTCAGGCATCATCATACGGAGTAGGGTCTCATTATCTGGTCCAGTAAGGAAGGGTGCAAATAAGCCCCGGCACATCTCGTATAGGCGGTGGGAAGAAAAAAAGCCCGGAACTGCCTGGCGGTCCAGTGTGGCCATTAGTTATTGGGTGATTTTTTTTTTTTTTTCTTTTCGTCGTTCCCCGCCTCCCGTCATCGCTAGGACGTGCATCCACTTGCACGGCGGATTTGAAGGCGCCCTTTGGACGTTGGCCAATGCATGCACTCGATTTTTTCACGATGTTGCCTCCTACCTGGAGTGCGTCATGTTGGAGGCCGCTTGCCTCAAAGGCTGGTATTAATCGAAATACTTCTCCATCCGGAGGAGGGGAAGAAGTGTAATAAGGCAACTTTTTTGCGTGATGAACTGAAGAGAATTTCTCTTGCTATGTTATTCAAAATAATGCTTCGGTATGGTCGCAACACCACAGCCGCCAAGCGCTGTCGGGACATTTTTTAGGCCATGCATACTCCGTATATTGGAGGCCATTATATGTAGGATTGGCTAGGCCTGTTGGTTTACAGCGATCGTGTCCATCATCACACAAAATATGCAAAAGCTGATTTCTCGTCACCGGCCTGAACGGCGTTTTGAAACGCAAGATTCATGGAATATCACAGCTGGGGTATCAGGCAAACCCGAGAATTGCCTCTTGAGCATGGTCGCGGCAAAATCGTACCATGCAGAGAGTCGCTCTGTTGTTTCGTTGATGCAAGGTCGGTGTTTTACATCGCCCTTGACTTTTTCAGTCTGTAGTCCTTCTGTGGACGCAGGAAGTATATGTGGCAAGATAGTCTGCCTGGCTCATTCATTCAAGAGCCCAACCATGGAAATTAAGCGACAGAGATGTTTCAGACCACAGTCATATATATATAGAAATACACCGAAGCAACGCATAGACATATCCTTATTGGTTTGTTTCAACTGGTAAGATGTGGGAAAAAGAGGCCCATTTGGAACTCTCGGAGATGGCGATAATATGAGATTCTGGAGCGTTTAATATCATAGGGCTCCGTATGTGGTGCCTGGTAGCGAAAGAAACACTTGATAGATTTACCATTTATAGAACTTGTTTCAGTTATTTTTGCATGAATCCCGCAGTCGGTTCTAGGCGGTCCAGGTGCGTTCAGAGCAAGAGAGGATATTCGAGAGGAGGAGGAGGTGGTGGTGGTGTGGTCACCTTGCAAGAATAGCCTGCTCAGGCACAACCTTGGAACGGCCTTTTGTCGATTATTGCTGACGCCAATGGCAACAGCATGGGAAATTAAATATATGCAGAATTAGGCCGTTTTATGCACCAAGATATTTTATCTGCCGCACACAGTCGGAAGACTCGAGACATGAGCATATATTCATCGGGTTCAACCTGTGCCTGACCCGGCAAGGCTGCATTTCCAACTCGCCCATGCCACCCTCCTCCATGCACGACGCGACGGACTAATTGCCTCTGCTCGGGGGCCTGTCGTTGGCTCTTCCCTAGTCCTCTGTCGAGTTACTCCGAGCCATCCATCCTTGGGAGCCCTTGGACGGCCAGCATGGAAGACCAACTGGATGGGCTTCTGGCGTGTTTCACAATATCCTAGGGTTCAGACACTAGTCGAAGCTTCCTGGTATGCGCTGGTGGAGTAACCATCACATCGCCTGGGTCAGGAACAGACTTCCATGGTGTGTTCCTGTTCTGCAGGGGGGTGTGGATGGCCGACGGCAAAGTTTCCCAACTGGTCGTTCACTGTTTCCACACCTCCGTGACAATATTTGTGGACACCAAGATCTCTCTTGGGCCCTCATTTGTCCTGGACCCATCCCGAGGGCAGTTGATATGCCCCAACCCTCCGAAGCACGGAGTACACCTTGGGGTTTTCGTAAAATGGGTTCAACGCTTCCAAGCCCGGGAGCACGGGAAGGTGGTCGTGTGCAATTGGCTCCTTCGACATTTCCATCAGTCATGCCCACATCTTGTCGAGCAGCTTTTGCCGAAACAACAGCTGATGGGACCTGGTTTAGTCAACCGAGCCATTTTTTACCTTTTTACTACCCCGGATCTTAGAGGCTTGTAGGTCGTCTATCGGCGCGGCGCCATTGCATGATCATTTCACATGCTTTCTCCTCTTCCCAACCTCGCTGCGAAGTCCAGCTGTACGCAGAGTACACGCGTAGCGTGTGGTGATTTGCCATGGGGATTTGCCGCCACTACTGGTACGGAGTAGATTATGGCTAGTTCTTTCTCCCTATCGATCGGCCAGAGCCGCTGACCATCCCAATGCACGATCGAGATGTGGGCGTTGCGGGTGTTGCGGGCAGCTCCTCTCGATCTAGTCGATCTGTCGCGGTCACGCTGGAGTCGACATGTAGACTATGTCCATAGTACAAGGCCCATCGGCGGCGTGTGACAAA